TTAATGCGGTCCATACCTCTCTGCATTTTGTTATGGGATGGTTTCAGTTTGAAATGACATTAAAGTAGGGATGGGAAAAGCCTCTGGAGGTTATCTAGTCTAACCCCCTTTCAAGGCTGGATCATTTCTGTCTCAATCTCCTCCAAGTCTTTGTCTGACCTGCTTGTAATAACTTTCACTTATAGAGAAGCTCTTGGGAATCTGCTTTCCAGTGATTCACCAGCTCATTGCTAGACCAACCAGCCTACATCTCCCTTCTTGCAGCTGAAGACCATTGCTTCTCATCCTGTCCCCAGTGCTCCTGCTATGAGTATGAATCAGTTAGGCTGTTTGCCTAGGAAAGCTGCTGTTGATGTGTGCACTCTCCAGGCCCCCTCAACTATTGAGCTGTGCCGGGGCTGCCACCAGCGAGACGGCAGGGCAGCCCTCTTGCACAACACTTGCCATAATAAATGTAATATGAATACCTAGAGATAGATAAATGGATGTAGGGAAAGATTGAATAGGCACTGGGCCAAATCCTCAGCTGGTGCAAATTGGCATTCTCTTTTTCTTTTTTGGTAAGAGCTTCACGATAAACCGGTTCCCTCAAATCAGAACGATCCCATCTCAATTCAGCCAAACTGCATGACACTTCCCATGTACTCTCATCTAAACCAGCAGCGCAGGACTGGAGGGAACTTGCATTTTGGCAAGCTGGAGAAAGCAGGGCCAACTACTCGGTAGATCAAGCTCATGTTTGTTGCACGGGACTGAAATGTCAGCATAAAAAAGGCCATCTTCCATGGAAAGGACATTTCATTTTTGGGAATGGTTCAGGTTTCCCAGGCTGGACTGAGCAAATGGTGTTTTGACTGCTTTCTTTTGAACTGGTTGTTAAAAATCCCTACTTGTTTTCTGGGTTTGGCTTTTTAAGTAAAAAAACGTAGAATTTTTAGTGAAAACAACCCCGCTTCTGCTTTCTGACTGTTTCTTGTGAAAGCCAAGTGGTATTCTGACCAGCTATTTATTAAGCATGAGCAGCACTGTACCTGGACTCCTGGCCGCCGTGGGCAAACTTTTAGTATCGGGCTTCCTTTCGCCAGAGATTATGATAATAATAATAATAATAATTATAATAATAATAATAATAAATTACCATTTTCAGGCCCCCTTTCTATCTAGGCCACCTGGTTCACCCATGCCTGTGTCCAGCCTTGAGCATGCGAGCTGAATGGCCCAAAGTCTGGGGAAGTTCAGATCTAATAGTCTGACCTGGTCCCATCCCCAGATAGGACGGAGAGTTACCATACCTCTGAGCAGCTTCCTCTGTGGCACCAAAAGGTCACCCCGCCCAAAGGCAAGCCCAGATCCTCCTACATTTCTGCACACCTTAGATTGGTGCTTTATGCCCCTATGTCCCCAGAGCTCCCTTCTCAGTGCAAAGAGCATTGCGACATCCCTATCCACGGGGACTTGGTTCCACTTTGTTTCCCCCACGAGCCATGCTTGATGGGGTTTTATTTGTTCAAAGAAAACTCTGCCTGGGCCTGCACAGGGCCTGGCTCCCAGGACACGGCCCAGGAATGCTGACGTTTGCTCCAAGCTACCGCTTTTCCCACTGACTCCCTCGCAAGCTCTTTCCACCCCCTCGCGTTCCCATCAGGAGGCTTAAAGCAGCACAATGCCAGCAACAGTCCTCAAGCATGGGCCTGATCCAATGACCTAAGCAGCTCTCTGCTTCTCTGCGGACCATAGCCTTTTGGCTGGTGTAAAAGGGCTGTTCTTGGATCGTCTCTTCTGCCCCTTTGAAGATACCCCGTATAAAGCTCCAGTAACCCAGCCCAAATGCCACCTTCCTTTCATTTCATTTTATTCCTTCCTCTACCTGCTGGCATAAGCAAGCTCTCACCTGCCTTCAGATAAAATAGGATCCCCCAGCCCCTACCTTAGCAGTCATTTCACTATACTCCCCTGTCATTTAATCCTCCCCCATCTCCTCCGTTGTGAGTAGCCTGACTTGGGGCAGGGCACAGATGACGGTAATAAGAGCAATAAGAACAGTATTTCAAGCACAGCCCTGCCAGAGCCAAAAAAAGGGTCACCCCTGTCTATGCCCTGGCATGACGCCTCCAAACGCACAGCCTCAGATGCCAAGGGCCTCTTTTGCTACTATGCAGCTTGTCTAATTCACTGCACCCAGCTGTGGATATGGCCCCCCATCACTACCATAACCAACAGGCTCACTTTCTTTAATTCATTGCTGCTCACAATACCCTGGGAAGTACAAGGCAGTGCTGTTATCCCCATTATACAGATGAGGAGCAGAAACACTGAGGAAATAATGGCTAGAAGCCCCGAAACGCTTTGTGTGGAAACGAGCAGAAGTCGGGTCTCTCAGTCCGAGGCTGTGACTCTGGAGCCCTCTGCTCTGGGGTTGCCCAGCCCCGGAGGTGCTCTGATTACACAAACACTTTCCTTTTCTCTTTGAAGTTCCCCTGGCACCTCGAATGGCACTCCTGCCCCTGCCCAGGGCCGCCCCAGTCTCTGCAGCCAGGCATCTGAGGTCCACGTGAGGTCCCTCGGGCCAGGGACAGAAGTTACACATTTAAGTTAGGCTTTAAGTCATCAGAAACAAGTTGAAACCTGTAACAGAACAGAAGTTCAGTGCACAGAAACCGGTTTCAAAATGGCTGAAACTGGTTTAAGATAAACCCGTTGAATGTAGGATCAGACTTCACTGATTTGGGTCAAACCAGTTTATGAACCATGGTTAGAGCAGAAGGGAAACCTGAGTTCAGGTCTTGGGGCCTGGCATGAAATGGCCGTTAGATAAAATACAACTGGGCCAGACCCCAGCACTGTCCTAACAACTCACATCCATTGCTGCCTCTCTCCGCAGCCTAGTGCATCTTGGACTCATCCCTGCCTGGTGCAACAGCTTCTGCTGGACAGCATCTCCTACTCTAGCTTGTACCTGGCAGATAAAATGCTTGGGAAGGAGATGGGGGATTTGAGCCCCCGGACGGAATCAAGAAGTGTACGTCTCCCATTTCTTAGGTGCAAATCGTGATTGCAAGGCTGCCCTGCGAAGGGGAAAAATGTGAGCCCTGCTTCGTTTTTGGAAAGAAAAGGCAAAGGCCTCTGCTTTGCAGAGAAGGGCCAGGGCTGTGGTTCCCATGTGGACAGAGGAGCTGCAGTGCAACCTTGAGGAAGGTGCCTGAGGGATGAGATTTAAGAGTCGCCCTCCTGTCCTCAGCATTTCCTGGCCGCTGCCTCGGCAGGGGTCTGCCGGCTGGCCACATTTTTACCCCGTGTGAACCAGTGACGCTCCATGGATTGACATGGGTTTACTCACCTCCATGCCTTTTTCCCCGGTGGGGAGACCTTGCCTGACCTTCTTTCACTCGTCTGCCTATGTCTGCATCGGTTTTAAAAACCTGCTGCCGCCACAGTGCCTAGGGCAGACCAAATGACATGTAGGTGAATTCTGTCAGCTGCTTATTTTTTGCTTCTCGGTGCCTAGCTGTCAGTCCTTCAGACAAGGTTGACCCATCCAGCAATGTTTGAAACACCTCCTATTTCCCTGGGGCCCCCGTCAGTAGAATAACCGTGACAACTCAGCGGTGCTTGGCGCACGAGTTCTGCTCTGGCCGAGCTGTCCTTGGTTGCGCAGAACCTGGCTGCAGCTTTCCACCCCAGAAGCAGCTGCATTCAGCGCTGCTCTGTGTCGACGGCAGCGGTAACCCCTCAATATGAGAACGACAGTCTTGCAGTAGGCAGGGAAGTCATCGGTCTCGGACTGGAGAGGCCAGTCCAAGATCTGAGGAGGCAGCAAACACTTTCAGGAGGCAAGAGTGGGTCCAGGTGACGTTGAGTCACATATGCTCTGTGTACGTTCGTGAAGCACTGGAAAGTCCAAAAAGTGTAAAAAAAAAAATTAAAAACAAAGATCCGTGAAGATCAGAGAAAAACAGCAGAGTCTCCCCAGACCCGAAGAAGGGTGCTCGTGCCCGAAAGCTTGCAAAGAACTTTGTTCCAATGACTCAGTTGGTCTAATAAAAGATATCGCATCCTTAGACCAACACAGCTACAATCAAAACCCCTAAACACCTTACCTTAGTCTTCCTATTAAACTTCGACACCGTCTTGCCCTGCCCGGAGGGATTCAAACCTACATTTCCCATCCCTCCAACCCTACATTTACCACCCCAGCCCCCAGGCTGGAAGCACAGCAGGGCTTTCTCTAGGCGGGGAAGTCGGCAGCGTGTGGACGAGGTCGAGGTTTATGCGGCGGATCCGACAAGGGGAGAGCGAAGCCTCAGGCCGAATGGCAGGGACAGAGTGAGCGGGGTATCCGTCCACCTCTATTCGAGGGAGACAGGGTTGTGTCGGGGTCGACGGTCGTTTTCTGCGTGTTTAGAGGACGGATTTGCATGGGATGGTTTGGACTGGAAGCACAAGTTCCTCACGGTTTTCTCCCGCACTTTCCCAGCCGCCCACCTCCCCCGACCCGTCGGCAATTTCTAGTTTAACCCCTTCCATGCCGATTTTTTTCCTTACACATTACGATGAAATCCGCCATTGGACACTTTCTCCCGCCTACTCCTCAGAGATGTCTCACGTACCCCCGGGGGGGGGGACACCTATGGGGACCCCCGGGACTAGATGCCCTGTGGAGGCCCCTTCCAGCCCCGCTTCCCGCCGGGGAACCGTTACGCTCAGGCCGAGGCCGGCGGCTGTGAGGGGCTCGGCGGCGGCGGCGGACGGGGCTGGGCCGAGCCGGGCGGGGCGGCGCCTG